TTTGTGGTTTAGTGGGCACGGTGGTGTTGGGTCGACGGTTGGACTCGATCATCTAAGGTCTTTTCCAGCCTTAATGATTCTATGATCCGAGGGGAAGCATCACCCCTGACCCAAGTGCTGTCGTAGCAGATGTCTGCAAGCCTGGTGTGTGGCTGAGCTGTCAGGGAGGTTATCGAGTGTGCCCGCACAGCTCTTGCCAGCGAGGGGATGCTGGAGAGCACAGTGATGGACGGAGAGCCATGGGCTGCCACTGTTCATACGCCCTGTGAGAGTGCTGAAAGGATGCGCGGGCAGAGGGACTGGGCTGCTGCAGCCTGTCAGGGCAGGAAAGGTGCCAAGGGGGGCTCACGCGTGTCTTTGCTTTGCTCCTTTGCTCTGGACCATGCAGTCTGTGTTGTCTTACCTGTGCCTCACTTGCTATCTCTGCCAAACAGATTTCAGCAGCATCACGTTTGTAACCGTTTATGCTTGTAGTGCAAAGTCTGTCATAAAATCTTAGACAGTATAATTAAGAAACTAAAACTAGTGAAAACAGGAACAGTAGAGTAACTTTTAACAATTGTTTCTTTTTTGAATCTGCACAATGGCTTTGAGTGCCTGAAGCATGACAAGGGTGTTTGATTGCTGCTGTTCTAAATGTTGTGCAGGGCTTTTACCACGGGGACCCCGCCAGCACCGCGGTATCACCACTCAGCTGTGGTCTATGGGAGCAGCATGTTTGTGTTTGGTAAGACAGCGGCAGATTACAGTTGTGCGTGCTTGGAATGATAAAAGTGCTGGTATTGTTTTGAAAAAAAAAAAAGATATTTTTAGGAAGCGTCAAAAGATCTTATTCAGTAGCAAATCCACTATTTTTCATGGCTGACTGTGATTTCAACTTTAGGTTGGAAATACTTTTGCTGTTTTCTCTAAAGCAAAGAAGGCTTGAAACTCATTACCACAGTGTTTCTTTAGGGGTAGGAGTGGAGGAGAAGTCTCCCACCTGTAGTAGTCCATTAGCCAAATACCTTCCCTTTGCGTGATCTAAACTAAGTTTTCTTCTAATATAATGACTAGAAGTGTGTATGTGCTATTACTGCGTTTGAGTCTAATGGAATTGTTGTTGCCCAGGTGGCTATACTGGAGACATTTATTCCAATTCCAACCTGAAGAATAAAAATGATCTCTTTGAATATAAGTTTGCAACTGGACAGTGGACAGAGTGGAAGACTGAAGGAAGGTAAGGAGCTGGCATCGTTACCCCACTCTTCAAGGGGACTTGAGCGTAACTCAGCAAACACTTAAAATGGCACAGTTAGAATTGGTTACCAGGCTAATATTAAGGCTGCAGGACGATTTCTGCTCTACTTTCTTGATAAAAGTTTTCTGAGAACTATCTTCTGTTCTGAAGGAATTTTTTTGCAAGGCCTCCATTCCAGAGTGTACTATATTGGAAATTTGACCAAAATCCATTCTTCACGTTTCATTCCTGTGACAGAAGGGATGGGAGCAAAGGAAATTTTTTCTTTTGAATTGTTTCTTTTTCAAGGACAGCATGAAATTTGTTGATCCCTCATAGTTTCAATTTAGTTTTATCAGAAGCCAATTTGTAGCTTATTTGTAGTTAAATCCACACATTCTTTTCTGAATAAAGTCTGACTCTCTCGGAGTGCTCTGAAATGCACACACTTGCTTGAAGCGCTTAAGGTGACGTGTGTTCACACAAATAAATTCAGCAGCAGATGAATGGGTTGATGATACATGTTTGGATCTGTTGAACAACGGTTCCCGAGATTCAGCTTTCCAAGGCAAAATCAAAACCGGTTCTAACCAGTCAAAACCAGAACTTTACTTCTTAAAGTTGACTTTGTGCACATTTTGGGATGTTATCTGTGACGCTGATTTTTTCCCGGCTACTTAACGTTTACCACACCTGCGCATGGGACAGACTGTGTCTTTACACGCAGTTCATTACATATTTGAAGTTTCTGAAATGCTGATTTTAGTGGGGGGAGGGAAGGGAACGTTTATTATTGTGACTTGTAGAAAGGGATGAGGAAGGCACAGTCCATTCTTAAGTTACTGTTGCTCTCCTCTGATGAGCATATGTTATGTTTTAGAACATAGACCGCCTTAGTAATTTCTCTTTCTGGTTATTCTAGCAACTTCGGACATTTTGGAGAGTAATTCTTATTCATATTTTACGAACTCAGCTGCCCTTGTCTTTCCCCACAATTACAAGTGTGCATACTGCACAAATGACCTCAAACGAGTTAACATTACCTCTACGGGTCTTGTGACATCACAGTTTTGCTCAGCCCTTCTTGGCTGATTTAGTGAAAACAACAAAGACTGGGGAAGAGAAATCGTAGGTTTGATCTTTTATCATGGGCACTGCATCTCAGGAACGCCCCGCTAAACAATCCCAAATAAGCATTGTGAGCTCTGTCCCAGGTCTCATTTATGTGTTCCACCTTCTTAGTGCATGAAAATATGCATGGGATTTTTATAGCACGAGTGGATTGCCACTTTGCAGTAATGATAGTGCTATTAATTGTCCCACTATTTAGCTACTTTCCATAAAATACTCTAAAAGTATTTGAAGCCGAGCAAGGAATTAATTGGGATTTTTTTTTTTTCTTTTTTTTTCTGTATGCATTAAGGTAATTTTTCTTTAATGAAGGAAGCAGTGTAAAATTCTAAAATGTACCCCTCAGAGGCTTGCTTTGTGTTTTGAGGGTGTATGACAAAAGCAATTTCTTGGCTTGAAGCCATTTTGTGTAGGGGACTTTATTCTTCTTACATGTGCATTTTTGCTGTCGTGCAGATCCTTCTTACAGCACCTCTGCAGATGATATAAGATTTTTTTTTCCTTAATTTTCTCAATTGCAGATTGCCAGTTGCGAGGTCAGCTCATGGCGCAACAGTGTACAGTGATAAGCTGTGGATCTTTGCAGGATATGATGGCAATGCACGGTATGTGGTGGGATTGCTCTCTCCTTGGGTGCTTTTGTAAAATCCCAGACACTCACTTTTCACTTCTGTAGAGACATTTTCGTATACCAAGTGATTTAAACACATAACTGGAGCTTTGCAAAACCCAGCCTGTTTTTGAGCATTACGTTTTTGCAATTCACCGGTTCATGTTCAAATAAGTATGTGTTTAAAACTTAAAAATCTGGTGACTCAGAATGGCTATGGATGTATAATTTGACAGCCTTCTTGGCTGTAAAGGTGCTAAATGATCTTTGAAATTTGGCAAATGAGCATTTCCCAAAAGATACCCACCGCAGGCCTTCTGATGTCACTGAAGACTTAGAGAACAAAGCATGGATTTTCTCTGAAGTCATATGACAGAACTAAGAAGACAACATGTCAGCTTTTTCTCTGAAAATATGTGATACTCTTGGTGGGATGCTGCACTGAAATACCAAGATTATTTAGGTTGAAGGGAGATGAGATTTTGGCTGGGGAAAGACTGGAAATGAGTGGTACTGAGAAGTTACGGAGAATCTGGTGCCTTGTCCCGTATGGCAGCTCTTCACATCTATCAGGGAAGAATCAGTTCTGAACACATAATTTTCCTCTGTCTTGATGAACTTGAGAAGCATTGTATGCTGATGCACAATATTTGCATCGTGAGAGCATATATAGATTGTCACAAACTAGGAGCTGCCTCAGTGTGCTGGGCTGCTTCTGAGGAGAATCTGCAGAAGAGTTATCAGCTCCTCAAAGTCTCCGGGAGAATGGCTGCTAATTGGAAAAACAGATGGGACCTTTATTTCTGGAGGAGGAATTGGAGAAAGATGCATGACTCTATGGAGTTGCTCAGTTCCAGCTTAGGGAGTTCCCCAGGGACCTTGGGTAGCTGGAAGGAGGGATTGGGTGAGAGGAGCTGTCGGATTTATGTTAAATATGCCTAATCGTGTTAAAAGATGTCTTTTTGTGGAACATGAGCCTCCAGGCAGATTTGAACAAAGGAAGCATCTGTGGTTGTCTGTGAGTAACTTGTACTGGGAAAAGCGTAGTCAGATACGTAGTAGTCAGTGATGCTTTGTCCTCCTTTATGTGTTTGAGGTAGGATTCAGCCACATAAATAATTACTGTGGTCAGTCTCAGGGGTTAGCAGGGATGGGTAGAAGAAGGCAGGGTGGTAAGGGGTATTTCTGTAAATTCCTGAAGATTAAATAGCTCAAATCCTTAAGCTCCAGAGTTGCTGTGTCTAACTGTTAACTGTAGTATACTTGAAACCAGAAAGATGCTAAAGCAAGCTTAGGTGGTGGTATAAAATTTAGGTGTAGGACAAAAAAGATTATTATAGTTTTTTCTGTTAGCGGAAGTAGGAGATTCTTCCTGTGCAGGAGAAGGAATGCTGATAAAATAGGATCTCTGTCCTTTCAACTCTATAAGCTAAAAATTACCAAAAATAAACTGTTTCAAATCAAGCATTTTTTGTGTTATCACATAGGCTAAATGATATGTGGACAATTGGCCTGCAGGATAGAGAGCTAACATGCTGGGAAGAGGTAAGAAGCTTTAATTTGAACTAACACATAGAATTTTCTAAATTATTTAAAATTTCCTATGCTGGATTATACTCCTCTCTCTTCAGAATGTGTTTGTCACACAGCTGAAAAGAAACAATTGAAATTTGATTTTGTTTGTGTGTTTGGAAAACCAAGCGTATATGAAAGTGATTTTTTGCTTGTGACCTAGACTGCCTATGGTGGCTTTGCTATGTCCCCTATAAAAAGGGGCTGCATTTCCCACTTTAACCACTGCCATGGATTGGGAGCTTCGCTGGCTGGCTATCAAGATCAGAGTCCTGATTCTTACAGTATCAGGGGCTTTAGAAATGTGGCCTCTCATCCTTTTTATCCATGGTAAAATTAGTCTGTGTAAGCACAGCATTAGGTGATTACCTGTAGCCAGATTTATAGGGACTTGTTTGTCTGCACACATTGCTGCCATGTGGTCTGTCTGTCTGCTGATGTATCGCATGGTCCTGCAGCCCACTCAACACGTGTAGCTGTGCACTACAATAATACATTTTAAATTTTAAACTTTGTTATCTTTCAGATTGAACAAAGTGGTGAAATTCCTCCTTCATGCTGTAATTTTCCTGTGGCTGTTTGCAAAGACAAGATGTTTGTTTTCTCTGGCCAGAGTGGAGCAAAGATTACCAATAATCTCTTTCAGTTTGAATTCAAGGAAAAGATGTAAGTGTAGACAGTTAAGTCGCGCAAAATCCACAGTCATTGACTACTTCAGTTGCGAAATGCACATACTTAAGGGTATTGAGGAAGAATACTGCATCTCATGATGAGGAAGGGTAGATAAGATAAAATGTGGACTGTTTTAATAAGACTTTGTCATTTGCCATGTGCATCAGATTGGTCTTTTCCAGCAGACGAACAGAAAGTTTAGTAGATTCACTTCAAACAATAATCACGAATGTTAGTGTATTCAGAATGGGATGCCAACTATTACCTTCCTAAAAGTTGTTATATGAATACCTGACTAAAACCAGACAAGTGTCCTGTGAAATATCAGTTTGTAGTGAAATCACTGGGAAATGTAAAATGCATAGTATCTTTTAAAATCTTGAGTACTTGGTTTGAGACGTTTGGGGTGACTTGCTCAAAGTGTCAACCATTGCTCTGAAAATGTGTCCCCTCTGATGGGGGAAAAATGCCAGAAAGTGAGAATATAGACGCACTGGTCTGTTCTGACAACCTGGACTGTCTGGTTACTGGCTGAAGTGGAACCACAACTGAAACAACAGCTAACAGCCTCCAAACCTTGGCTGAAATCATGCTATCATAGGGAATAAGCAATGCCTTATCAAAATGGGATACGGTATCAGAATGGTGCCCTTTAGAACGGTTAGCTGTTCAAGTGTGTGACAGTAGATTACTGATTCCTTCCCAAGTTATGGTCTTTGAGCTGCCGGGGTTTACGTAAATACATCTGGGTTATGGAATGATGTTGCCTTTATCACATTTTCAGTTAGAAGTTTAGCAACATGGAGCTGACATAGGTCTCTGAGAAATCTGCAGGATTAGTCATAGTGCTCCTGCAGGTTCAATAACTACTGTAATAGAGCTCCTCTTCTTTATTCTGACAATCTGAGAGTTAGAAAACTTACTTTGCAGAAAAGAATTGTAAAAAACTATACTGTTTCATTTCTAATGTCTCAGTTGGACACGAATTCCTACCGAGCACTTACTTCGAGGCTCCCCTCCTCCTCCACAACGAAGATATGGCCACACAATGGTTGCATTTGACCGGCATCTCTACGTGTTTGGTGGTGCTGCGGATAACACACTGCCCAATGAGCTCCACTGCTACGACGTGGACTCTCAGACCTGGGAAGTTATCCAGCCCAGCCCAGACAGTGAGGTAAAACGTTCAGCTCTTGTTTTTTTCCTTTTACGCTCTGTCTTTTTTTGACCCGTTTTTGCTGTCAGGCTATGGACATGTTTTTCACAAGGACATTGACTTTTAGTTCAATGTAATAGCTCCTCCCCAGCAAAGGTTAAGCAGCTGAAATATTGTGGGCAACAGTCTTTAAAAATTAGTCAATGTTGATACATTTAAAACTTTGCTTAGTACTGTTTAAAGAAATACCATAAAACACTTGTAATTCAAGTTTTCAGTCAGTCATTATCTGACAAAGATTAGGAATGAATTCACTGAGTGGACCAGTGGTTGTGTGGTTGGCTGTGTGATGCTCTTGAAGCAGAATTCAAAACTAGACAAGGTTTTCATTGTTTCACTGTAACAGTGCCTGTGTGCGTAAAATCTTACCGATGCTGTAATTATACAGAATAGCATTTTCCTTTTAGGTTAAGTGTAAAGTGTTTGCTTATAAAGGTATGACTGTAAAATAATAATAGAGATCATAGGGAGGCTCAGAAATGGCTTTTTTTAACATATTTGTGTTAATAAAATATATACATTAAAAAACGTAGGTTCTTTACATGAACATAAAAAGACAGTAGACCACCAAGGGCCAAGTAAACAACCCAAATGAGAAAATATTAAAAAAAAAAAGATGAGGAACATCTTAATATGTTTGTTTTGGGCTACTCATTACAATGCAGTGATTGTGTGATAAAATGTCAATTTTTTTCCATAGTGCACTGATAGATACCCTCTCTGGGATAACCTGGTATTTCAAGTTGAAGTGCTGAGGGTTTGCATGGTTTCAGTACACATTTCAATTCACATTTCAGTAAATCTGGTTTCAGTGGCCTCTGATCATTTCATTCCCAGAATGCACAAAAAAAGTAGGTTTCTTGAAGCCTGTACTAATATGTGTATTTCCTGGATTTAGAATGGTTACGTTGAGTGTATTTGTTAATTTATGTTAAAATACTTCAGCTGATTTAATAGTAGGTTCAGAGTGTGTTAGCTGATCTGTGGGGAAGAAATACTTGATGTTTTTGTGCTGTATAGAGAACTGCAGAGATTAAGGTTATAACTTAGAGATGAATATTACATGAATTAGGATCAAATGCAGATTTACTAATTTTGCCAGAATTGGAATGACAGAGGTGCTCACATCCTTGACTGTTGCACTGTATTTTAGTTTGTTTGCAAAGACACACAACTCAGCATTTCATGAATAGGAAAATACCATTTACACACTGCTCTTAAATTAACAATGCATCTGGGCCTCATTTTGAAGAATTATTTGACCGAAGTAGTTCATGGTAGCCTATTTTATGCTTTACAAAGCTGATTTATTTTCACGTGAAATTAATAAAACTACATCTCCAACTTTTTAAAGATACGGATGCCTTCAGGAATGTAGATCCCGTTCTGTTCCTATCAATGTTATCATTTGACACTTAAGGCTTCCTCCATCGTTGGTTCTTCGTGATACGATTGCTTATCGCTTTCAGGAGCAAAAGTGCTCCTGACAGTGTTGTAAAACAGCATTATTACCTGACTTACCCCCTGCTAAATTTCACTTCGTATTTCAGAGCTCTCTTCTTGGGCTGTCTGTAATCCCGGGCAGGTGTCTGTCAGTTGCATGTGTTGTATTTTGAAGTTTCTTCCACAGTTATGGCATCTAGAGACTACTTTCGTAGAAATGGGAAGTGAGGTTGAAGCACTGTTGAAATGTGATGATAGTAAATTTTCTTTAAAGACTGATTAACTGTAAGAGACTTTAGGCGTTTTAAGTAAGTTTTAAATGATTTTGTGTGTTCTGGAGTGGTAAGTAGATAATTTATCAGAATTGTTTTCCTGAAGTTTCTGTGAGCTTTTGGCGAAGACTTTTAATAGTGGCAGTGACTCTCTAACACCATAATATTCCAGGACACTCTGAACTTGAAATTTCCTTTCTTATCCATATCTGTGAACAAAATTATTCACATTAAGTTGAAACAAAGTAGAAGACAGCGAGTGCAATGCTATCTCAGCACTTGAAGAATTCTGCTTGTGTGTGAAGTGATGTTGACCTCTGTTACTGTGCAGCAGAATAATCTATCTTGGCTTTTGATAGAGTTGTTGGTTTTGGTTTTTTTTCTTTTTCTAATGGTTGGATTGTATAGCATTATGTTGTTCTTGTATTTTCTATGTTATATGATCTTAGAAATGCTGCGTTACAGCTTTACTTAACAGCACTGTAGCTAGGTTGACCTTCATACCTACCATCATGTGATGCATTTCCTTAATTTTTTCTTCTTTTGGACGTTTAGCATTGAGTGGGCAAAGCCTCCAGAGTCCAAACTAAGAAGGCTTGGTGCTGATTTAGCGATTAACCCAGGAGTGATTTTTACAGTGCTTTGCAAAAGAGATTTCTTATACTCATGCTGAAGGAGAGTGACTGCTGCCATTCCAGTCTTTCTCGTTCTCTGAACTAAGACTAAGCCAGCCCTGAGAGGCTTTTCAGAGTGATCCAGGTAGTGATTTGGCCTTTTCAGACCTACACATGCCAGTAATAGACATGGACTGTCAGGTGGAAATGGTATTTGCCCCTGTTATGGGCAACGTGGAAGGTGACAAGTCACATGAGACTGAGGAATCTCGAGGCTTTTACCCGGAGAAGGTGGCACAATTTGAGCATTAATAACAGTGGTGCAGGGCAAGTTCCAGGAAGGTCCTAGAAGCCGTTATTGAGGACAAGCAGCAATCAAGTATCAGGCGCTGTAGGTGCACAGAGGCAGTCTTGCGTTTTCAGCATTTTGGGTAAACAGGTAGAGGAAAAACTGGAAACAAGTCTGGCGATGGACCTGTTCTAGTTCTCTACTCAGGCCTCTCAAAATTGTTGACAGTGCCTCGCTGTGGCATGGAGGATGGGACAATGGCCTGACAAGTAGAAGAGGGGAAACTAAAGTGGAACAGGTCAGTACTTTGAAAATAAACCAGGAACTCCTATTTTATGCTTTTAGGATGTCTCCAAAATGAAAATCAAGACATGCTTTCTGAACTGCACAATTGCAATCCACAGCTCTTCACACCTTTGTCTTGACGCTGTAATATATGTACATATATATTTTACAGAGCACACAGAGCTGTTCTCTATCTTTACTGTTAGATGATCTTCACAGTTGGGGCTTCTACTTTTCTAAGGCAGCCAGAGGAATATCATGTCTGAGTCCATGCCTGCCTGCATAACCCTGCCAAAGCTTCCTGAGGTGCTTGGTTTCCTTTATACAGGGCTATTGGAGGATTTTAAAATAGTTTAAATATATTTTCCTATTTCTTTATTGGCCTTGAGTTTTCCTATTGAACTCAAAATATCCTTGGCTTTTGAAGAAGGTTGGAACAGCATAAAAATCAGCAGGCAATAATAGGGAAAATGCCCCATCTTGCACAGTTCCTTGCCGGCAGACAGACAGACAGACACACGCATGCACGCAGCAGTCATGATTTGTGCTGCAGCAGAGGAGTGTATTGCAGGGAATGGCGGAGGAGCTCGAGGTCTGGGCGGGGTGCCCATCCATTTGTGGGGCACAGTCACGCAGAATCAAAAGTGATGTCTGGAAACAGTCACGGCCTCATAGAGGACAAGGTGGTGTAGGAAGAGGAAGAAAATTCTCCTTCCTTGCAGTGCTTAAGGAAGGTCAGTGTGTGGGATAGTCACAGTGTGCATCGCTCCCCTGTTTCCAGGCGAATGACCATCAGCTCCCCAGTGACTGCAGGTACTAGTGAGCAATCTGTCTTTCCTGAAGTTACAAGAGAAACCTTTAAAACATGGCCTGTGAAGCATTTTAGTCTCACAATTAGGCCTTTCAAAGCCAAGAACAATAAAAATTTCTGACTTTCAAAGCTCTTGATTTTTCTTTTAATAAGCAAAAACGGAGGTTAATGTGTTGGTAACCTTCTCTGGCTTTGAGGCACAGTTCTGGATTTCTTCAGATGGATTACAGTGATGTGGTTTGTGGGAAGCTAAGAAGGATTAAAAGGACTTACTCATCCTACTGTGGATGAGTCTGCCACGGTCTCCCTGTGCAGAGATCAGTTACACCCATTGAGGTATCTTCAGGCAAAAGAAATGTTATTATGTGAACAAAACCCTGAATTCCTGCAATAAGGCCCCTAACAAGATCTGCCTTCAGATGTGGTGAGTGTAGTTGTCAGGGTATCACGTTCTGCTAGGAGAGATAAAATTTAGCATTTCACAGTCCAAAGAGAAGACTGATACTCCTTATGTTTATAAATAATATGTAGTGTTCAGACTTGCATCCTTTTTAGAAAATATTTTTTAAAAATTCAGGATCTTCATACCAGTGACCTTTTCGAGTTTGTGCTCAGTAAGCTGGAGACAGACATCTTGAAAATGTTAGTATTTATAAAAACCTGGTTATCAGAGTAACTGTAGTTAAGATTGTTGCACAGCTCGATTTCTGTTTGTCAAGGCTACATTCGTATCCTTTCTGAGGGATGTTTGTTACATGCTTTGACAGAATTTTCCCAGAGAAAGCAAAATGCACGCGTGTGTGGATGATAGGCAGAAGGAATCTATTTCGACAGCTCACTTACCCGTAAGAAATTAGAACAATACAGTATTAACATGACTCATATTAAATGGGAATAAAGTTGGATAACTGAAAGATAAGAAATATGGTTTTGAATGAGGAGTAGTTACTCTGCTTATATCCTTTAGAGACTGGTTCTTGTTGCTATAAACTTTTGTCAACAGCCTTGAAAGAAAACAGAAAATCACAGCTTTCCCCTAATAGTTACTGACTGTCCAGAGTTTTGCCAATTAATGATTAAAATAACAGTCCACTCAGAGTGGTTTGGATTTCTTCTTAAGGTGGGCACAAACAATATGTATTTCAGTATGTATGTAAAGAAATACATCTAAGAACAGGGTCTGTGGTCTATGTTAATAGTTTCCCTTACAGTATCCCTGGAAACAATGACTTAAAAACTTCAGTCATTGTGGGTAGCTGAGGCAAGCTCCCTGTAATGTAAAATGGCTGGAAGTGCTGATGATATTCTTGGCTCCAGAAGCTGACATAGGGCAGTATTATTTAGTAATATAAATACATTACCCCCGGGTTTATTAGATAGATCTTCCAGTATAATATCTCACCATCTTGTGTTCACAAATCAAGGAGGTTATTCAGAGGAGAAATCTGAAAATGATTAAAGATTGGGAAACACAGTGACCAGCTGTGAAGCGTAGTCTCTTTTAGGGAAGGTTCATGAAATTAATTCTTTACTGGCCTACCTGGGGAACAGAGGCTTTTTAATCTGTTGGTAAAAGATAAAGCAAGATCCACTGGCTTAAAGTTGAAACTAGAAATAATCAGACTAAAAAAGAAAAGGAAATAGAAGTTTACAAATTGTAAAGAATGAGGGTAGTGATTCATTGGAAAGTTTTATCAGAGCTTTTTGGTAGATTATTCACTTCTAAACCAGAATTTGATATTTTCTAAGAAGAAAGTTTTCCTAAAAGAAATGTTCCATTTCAGTACTACTTCAAGGAAGTCTTGTAGGTTGTTTTATGCAGGAAGTCAGATTAAGATCCCAAAAGTACTATTATGGTAATTTGATTTTTGAATACACACCACGGTGCCAAAAAGAAGCAAATGGTTGGTCGCTTGATTTTTGTCATCTGTTGTTAGATTTCAGTATGTGATCGTTTGAGACACATTCATTGGATTTGGCAATACTTGCTCTTTAAACTGTGCCTAATCCTCTCTGATGAATTATACATTAACACTACTTTTTAAATTTGCAACTGATATATTAAAATTGTTTTAAAGGAAAGAGAGTTTACAGTTAATACAGTAATCTGTAAATAAGTTACAGATTGTCTTATATTCGGACTTTTGCAGTGATAACAGCACATGTTTGAATGTCACTGTTAAAGAATTAACCTCCCTTTTTCCATGCTGTATTCTCCAGTGAATGTCAAATGGAAAAAAATCTCATCTTCAGCGTAGAGCGGAATATCAAATGATGTCCACTGTCCCATCCCCTATTACTTACCACAACCAGAACTGCAAAATCTGTAGAAGAGCTGATATTGCAATAAGCTTACTCATATTTATGACTTTGCTTTTGTATCTAGTGATTTATCCTGTGTCGTAGGTTTTTTCATCATGGTCTTCAACTTTCTATCCTCTACCACAATCCATGACAATCCTTCTTCTGTATTACTGCTTCATATGAGGAAGTGGTACTTAACTGAGGTGATCCTCTGCTTTACACCATTGTTAAGCTATAATAAATGAATTTATGTTGGCAATGCAGCTACGATGATCTCAACAAATACATTGCAGATAAAATGTTTTCGACTTGCTAACAGTAGTGCGGTGTTGAAAATTTCATGAGAAGTCTTGAGAAGTCTCTACCATGGGAAATCTTTAAGAACAGGCTAGATAAACCTCTCTCGGGAATGAAATAGATATTGTTGACGTTGCATGGGGCAGAGGAATGGAAATAGCCTTTAATGAGGTCCCTTCCAGGTATCTGTGATAGGTTTTTAATTCCCTCTCTTCTTCTGTGGTACAATCAGGAAAATAAGAGGGGAAAAGGAAAGGCTACATTTCCATCTTAGACATAAATTAAATTTCCATCATAGCAGAAGCTAAGCTGGACTTCCAGACCTGGAGTATGTTAAAGAATAGGAGGAAGTCTTTTGAGTCGCAAAAGCAGGTAGGTTGGAAAGGACCTCCAGAGGTCTTGAGTCTAACCTCGGGCTCAAAGCAGGTCTGTTTAGGGCTGGTTGCTCAAGGTCTTGTCCAGTCCATTTCTGTGTATCTCTAAGGATAGAGATCCAACAAGCCTCTCCTGGCGCCTCTTCCAGTGTTTGTCCACTATCATGGTAAAGCATATCTTCCCTTCATACCGAATCAGAATTTCCCGTGCTCTAACTTGTTTCTGTTGCCTCCTGTCTTTCACCTCTCAGAATAGTGCCTCTGTCTTCTCTGCACTCCTCCTGTAGGTAGTTGCAGACAGTAAGATATCTCCTTTGCCTTTTCTTCTCTCATGCATCATGTGCTCCAGGCCCTGAATTGTTGCAGTAGGTCAATGCCTTTCTTGTACTGGGGAGCCCAAAATTGGGTAGAGTACTTCAGATGTGGTAGTGCTGAATAGAGGAGGAAAAATCCCTTCCCTCAACCTGCTGGCTACACGCTTGCTGATACAGCTGAGGATGCTGTTGGCCTTACTGTGGAATAACTACTGACTCCTGTTCAGCTTTGTTGTCCACCAGGACTTCCCAGGTTTTTATCTTCAGAGCTGCTTTCTAGACAGCCAGTCCCCAGCCTGTATCATTGCAAGGGACTACTCTCTCCTGGGGCAGGACTTTGCATTTGCCTTGGCTGAACTTCATGAGGTGCCCATCGGGCCATTTTTCCAGCCTAGATAAGTCCTTTTGAATAGCAGCTTCCAGCATTTCAACCACTCCAGACAATTTGATATCAACCACAGACTTGCTGAGAACACGGTGCCCTCCTCTAATCTGTGAAGCCATTCAGCATTTTGTAGGAGATGATCAGGTTAGTCAGGAAAAATTTAACCTTGGTAAATCCTTGCCGAGTGTTCCCAGTCACCTACTTCATGTGGTGGAAGTAGCTTCCAGGAGGATTTGCTCCATAACCTTCTCGGGATGGAGGTGCGGTTGACTGGCCCGTGGTTAGCTGGATGCTGCTCCTTACAGGTGAAAGAAGCCTTTGCCCAAGCTGTGTTCCTAGGTTCATATCATGCCAGATTTTTAAAAGTAATAGGTGCTTCATGGATTATAAACAGCACTTTGTTTACTCTCAGGTACCTACAGCCCTAAGCTAGGATAGATGAGTCCGTCGCCATAATCTGGAAAGAATCACTGTCTAAGGAAAGGCATAATCAAGCCCTTCAGTATTTGCTTTCTCCTCCTTTGTTCATTTGCACAGCCCTGTGTCTTGAAGTTCACTCTAAAATGAGTCTGTTCCAATTTTGTCAGAAAAGCATATAGATTTTCTGCACCCAGCATGTGAAAACATTTTAAATCCTTAAACCTCCTTGAACCTAATGACTATCCAAAGCTCTGTCTGCCCATGTGTTTCAGAGTTTTATGCTGTTGCCTGGTATGATAGTGTAGTAGCGTCTCTTGAGTATAAACAGCTACCAGCAGTGACATCTCATTTGGACCTGTTGGAGCTTACGGTTTTCTTCCAGTTTCAGAGGAAAAATAGATTATTTTTTTTTACCTTTTACTTCATGTTGGTTCACCCAGTTTGTTTGTTGATGGCTTTAGGTCTTTTTTCATTTTGTCTTAGAGTTTTTAGTGGGTATTGGAGGATAGAGAGGCTCATCAGTGTTCCTAGGTTGTGAAAGAGATCCGAGCGCATCTTCACTGACTTTGGAGTTCAGTGCAACAATCAGCTTCCTTCATACCTGCTCATTCATATATGAGGGTGAGGAGGGTTAAAATTTACACAATTATAAATTTATTCTGTAAATATGAGAAGGCCTCTGAGGAGTTGAGAGAATGCGAAAGAAGAGCCTTGAAACAACTGCAGGGGATTTGATTTTAGCTATTTCCTAATATTGCACATAGTGTTGAAATTTCAGTCTGAAAAAGCACTGAAAACATGTTAGAAATGCTTTGAGAAATGAAGAAGAGATAAAAGATAAACACTGAAAACAACACAAGTAGTCACAACCTGCAATAATAGTATAGCTAATATGTTCTTC